TTGCTTCCTTTAAAATTTCTCTGTTCTACTGGCTATGTGGATTGAGTAAAGAATTTGACTTTTTAAAAATCTCCTGTTCTCCCTCTTTCTTGGGAGTTAAAAGTCAAAAGTAATTTGCTGGTGACTTACAGTAACTTACTTCAGAGTATTTTAACTTGTTCTGTAAAGCTGCTAGCCTTTTTCTAGCACTACTAGATTTCCAGCCAAACACACTTTGTTTAGTGGAACATGTGGTATTCATTTCCAGATAAAGACATTTCGTATTCATAGCATGATTGAGAGGCAGTCCTCTCACTTCGTAAGAGTTGAAGCAGTACTTGGTGGTTGGTTTAACTGATTAGCAGCAGTTAATCAAGGAACATAAAACGTACTTCAGGTTTCATGCATGAAAAATGGAAGCAGAATGATTGCAAGTGAGGGAGGAGCCTGAACCAAACTCCAGAAGTTATCTTTGGCTTTCATTTGTAAAATGAATAAATCCCTTTTTACACGATAGCTTATGTTAACAGCATATGAAGAAAACTTCTATATAGATGCTTAAAGCAATGATAGACTGAATCATGGAGTTCAATTGGAAATTAGTATTGAACCCATCTGAACACCTGGCTTTAAGGGATAGGTTGGGACAGCTCATCTAAAATTGCTGCTTTTTATTTTAACAGAACAATAAGTGTTCTTGAATAACAAATGGACTATGAGATGCCAGCTTAATTGTAGGTAGAGCACTGATGCTTCTTTTAGTTTCATTTTGATAGTCAACACCATGTAAAAATACACAATGTCTTGTAACCATTTGGCTGCTCTAACTTTTGGAGCAGTGTTGCAGGCATTCCAGCAGAAGAGGTGTGAAAGTTCATCCGCCTGCATAATTCTTGTATGAACTCACTTCAGTGACACATTCCTCCTGCAGGATTACATTTCAGCTGAGGACACATGTCTCTGACATCATACAACAAAAATACCTAAATCGAAGAAAATCAGCTATGGTTCTTACACTCAAGATACAAGCAAAGTCTGTGAGAGGCAAAAGTCTGGCTTTCCTTAGCTCAATAAAGTAATTTAGACCAAAACCATCTCATTAGATGAGGTGGGAATGTGGAAATTTAGATTGCAGTCATAAAAACATGCTATTTACAGGAAGTTGAACAGGTGCTGTCCTTTTTAAACACATTATCTGCTGCTAATGGAGCCTGATTCATGTTATACTATTCATGTTGGTCAGAGTAGGTGGAGTCAAATTAAATTAAAGCTTTTTTTAAGAAGCAAAGCTAGAGCTACAGCTGCTTTCTGCAGGCAGTTCTTTATAAAAGATGATTCTTAAAGTCAACAATACTACTGCAGAATTAGGTACCATTCGAAATGAAGAAAGGTTTCATGATCTGTCCTAATAAGGGAAAGTACATCTGGCTGCCCTGGAGCCGCCTAGTTGGAAGACTGTTGCTCTGAGTCATAGCCTTTCTTTGTTTCCTCTGTTGCTCAAGAGTAAACTACAGGCAGTCCAGCATGTCTGACTTGACACATCAGTGTGCACATTTTGCATACGGGCTGAGATGAGGGAATAGAGAGGAAATGGGTAAAGTGAAGACTCCCACCTGGTCCCTGTAAGTTTCTGACCTGCTCTTTGTCTTTGCAGAGCTTGCTTGCATCCTTGCATTGGTGCCGATGATGTGGTTAGCTAGCAGAGAGGAAAAGAATCCTTTGTAAATTTGCATTTCTGCACTGGGGTACTGCCTGGTTTATGGGTTGCCCTGAGTGACTAGGTGTGGAAACTTGGCTTCGAAACGTAGGCAGAGAGCAATTAAGGTTTTAATGCTAATGACTGAATTACATTGCATGACACTGCATTACAAGTGTGGCAAAAAAGTGTGCTGTGAAACATGGTTTTCAAATGCACATACTGCATTTGTGATAGCCATTTCAGAAATGAAAATAACCCAAAGATTTTTAATACCAAAAAATGAAGCTGCCTATTACTCATTTTGAGTCAATGTCAATCATCTAATTTATTCAGTATGCAAATAATCCAGTAGCCAGTAAAAGACACTGCTTCAGATCATTTAAAAGTAGCGAGAAGGGTATGAGAAACCTGTACTCAGAATCACAGTAAAAGCTTAGGCTATTTTCTGATTGCATTATCTTATCCAGTGATATTTCAAATGCCAGCAGTGGTCTGTTCTCTATATTTAAACTGTCACAGCAGAAGGCATTGTGTTTCCTATAAAAATAGCATTTTGACTATTTACACCTGGCCAAATCATAGCATACCCTGAGGAAGAAGCCCTCAAGAGCAGAAGAGTGGCACTCTTTGGTGTCAGATTCCTTTCCTTTGGCGGGAGGTGCAAGTCCCTTATCTGGGATGTGTTTTACTTCCAACTGCAGGTTAGGTCAGCTCTGTTTGCAGACGAGTTGAGGAAGGAAAAGAGCACAAGCAAAACACTAACCCACGTGGTGGGGAAGCAACACAGCACAGCTTATAGAGGCAGGTCATTCCCCTGTGCTCTAGCAGCAATGTAAACCAGCCTGGAAAGGCTGCTCAGTATCCTTAGCGAGGATATCGTGTTGGGGTCAGGATGTTCTTTTAAAAATTATAGTTGAAATAATAAAAAGCTTCTGGTAGCTGGAATGTATCTACTGAATAGGAAAATGTCAGTCTAAGATGTAGCTTCTGTGCTTTTTGGTACTGTTTTTTTGTTTGTTTTTTTTTCCAAGTAACAAAATGCAGCTATCTAATAAAACTAAATTTCAAGTTATTGGCTGTAAATATTGAATATGGGATCAATATTTGGGTCTGTTACAAAAGCTAGTTTTGCTAAATAGCAGTTTGGGCCACTTGAGTTTAAAGACTTTCAGAAAAAGCTAACCTGAGCTCAGTCATGCAGGCTGTAGAATACATATAGAAGCACTGTGCTCATTCTTAAAGGTATGATTTCCTCTATTTAACATAAACATTAAATTTAAAATCCAAATGTTTCTTCAGACACATAATACTGCCATTAATGAAGTTTGAATATAATAATTTTAGCATCAATAGAATGATTTTATTGGCACTTCCACCTTTTACAATGGTGTAGGAGATCCAAATGAACTTGCCCGTTTATTTCACTGAAAACAAATAATTTGCTTAAAGATAACTGGGTGGCACTAAGACACATCAGCCTTGCTGCACAAAATGACCCTTGCATACTGGATGATCTGGATTTCCCAGCTCTGTACAAAACCCACATTCACAGTATTGTGGGTGGCACCAGGCTGCAGTTCCGTGCAGCACTGTGCAATGGTCTGTCTGCCCTTTGTAACACTAGATACAAATGCACGCCAGCCAGCGGATTCCAAAGCAAGAGTTATTTTAAGATGGGCAGGAACCTGGTTACAAAGTAGAGGAACATGTACCAACTCTGTCAAATATGCTTTCAGAATTTATAAACAAGCAACTTTTTAAAAAAGGGTAGAAATTAGAGGGTATTTCAGTTATTGCCCACTAGAATTTCCACCGCTTCTCTGGAAGTTGAGAGTCTGCTCAAAAGGAGGAAGAGGTTCAGCCTTCAGCATCCCTGCAGCAGCCAAACAGAAGTAGAAAATTTCACATTATACATCAGTTTACCAAAAAATTTTTTTTTAAAAAGTGCTTTTGCCATGCATTTCATTGAACAGAATGCCAAAGGTCTGCAAAAACAGCCTTCACTTCTCAGAATTAAACATGGAATATGGAGGTCTTCATCAGCAGTCCTTTACATCAGACATCTGTACAAGGACTGTACAGTATCTGCAATGTGTGTTCCACAGCAAACTCAGAAATCACTGTTAGAATTTGCACTAATCGATGACATCATTAAAAGTCTCAGTAAAAAAAAAACCAAAAACCTTCAGATTGAAGAGACACAAAAATAAGTAGTTTCTCCCAAGGAGAAATGGTACTTCTTTTTAGGAGATGAGGTAAGCTGACAAGAAAATGTGATGAACTTTGACATGCTATTACTTTAATTACGCACATTCAGTGCATAGAGGATTTGTCTGCAGCGCTGTTCAGCCGCATTCACAAATTTTAAATCCATTACAAATAAGGAGTGTGTGTGGGGGGGGTATCTCAGTTTTAAAACAATGGAAGAAATATGCTGAATTTAGCAACAAAGCGGTATGGAACTTTCTGTATACCTGGCAATGAACAGACTGGGTCTGCAAAATCATCACATGAATTACTTCAGGCTCTGATTTATTGCCTTTCATCATCTGGTGAACTTTGAGTTCTCATCCATTTCTATCAGGAAAGCTCAGCTCCTCTGCAGAAATGAGCAAGGTTTGGAATAATTCTTTTGGTGTATTTCCCATAGGGCTGGCAAGCAGATAATGGATATTTTCTGCAGCCCATATAGATCTGAGGCAAAGAACACAAAGAGACAACAGTGTCTCACGGCTCTCCAAGCACACAGCTTGCAGCTTACGTTTTGCATGTAAGAACACTTTACCCAGCAGGAATTTTTCTATTTTATTTGAATAAAATTGAGATGAAACCAAGGAAAATCTAAAGCAGTGTTGCAGAGCTGCCAAAAGGATTTGATATTTTTACTTCTGTCTGGATGAGGAGCTACGAGATATGGTTTAGTAGCTTGTGGTAGCAATGGTAATGGGAGGACGGTTAGACTGGATGATCTTGTAGGTCCTTTCCAACCTTGTGATTCTGTGATTCTATGATTCTTCCTAAGGATTGAAGTAGTGGCAGCACATTCCCCTAGTTATGTATTTCAGTAGTTGTTAGTGCTTACTTGCTCCCAGGATCTTCCCTCAAAGTTGTAATTTCTGATGAGATCTTATACCTCCCCCCACCCTCTTTGATTGCCTTCCAGCTACCATGAAATCTCTGTTTCTCTTGGCCCACTGTCTTACCAGAGATCACATGTGAAGACTTTTCTTAAAAATTTAGAGCTTGGCCAAAAAAAGTCAGTATTTCAATTCCTAGTTTACATCCACAATCAAAGGTGATCTTGAACCTTGATTCTCAACCATTAAATTCAAACCTTTATTAAAATCACTACATGCCTACACACCAAGCCATTACAAAGACAGAACACACCTGGGAGAAGGACTGTGCAAAGAAAGAATAAATGGTATCAGTGCAAAACATTACTGCAAAACATCCTGACAAAGAAGAAATCTGCGTCAGAGGGATTTTATCATTCTCAACTGTAGTAAAGTAAATCTGCTATCTGTGAAAAAAAAGCGTGACTGAAATTTCACTGTATGGATCCATTAGATTAGACTGAACAAAGGATATAAGGTAGAAAGGGTTGTATAATGATAACATAAACAAATATTGGTGCCTAGAAACAGCAGGCATAGACGCATTAAAATATTTAAGGTACCTTAAATATTAACTGCCTAGCAACAAGTCCCTGATTACTTCAAAGAAAATACGCACTACTTTGGGAGGCAGAAATCACAGCCATTATTATTATTATTACTTTTTTTTTCAATAGCAATTAGACACATCATTATTATTACATAACACACAATTGCACGCACAGTGAATCCCTGCCTTAAATAGTTTGTGCTTGACTACACTAAGAAGCAGTAGGAAATCACAGGATGTGTTTTATACAGCAGAGAAATCAACTCTTTGCATCACTGGGCTGCAGCTCCTCCCCTGCCTCAGATTTATGTTACAGCCATCCCAACCCACATAAGTCTACATACTCATTTCTTGATGTTTGCAATTATATTGCAGTTGTGCCATACACAGGCAAACTATCCCAAGCACATTACATGACACTGACAAAAGAGCCAATTTAGGCTGTGACTCTTAATTCCCTCTGTTGTTCATGTCATTGCAAGTTCCTGTACCTTAGTCTGGTAGTGACCCACAGTGCACTCACTAGGCAGCTCCCTGGTTACAGCTGGCACTGCTAAGTCTTCCCTCACCACTACACGTACCTTACGTGTGAGCCCAAAGGCCAAATTTCCTGCTCAGTCCTTGTGAAACAGCTGAAAGGATTGTAATGGAAAAAGGTTTCCAGTAATACCTAAACAAACTTTCTAATCTTGCATGTGTTCATTACAGCAGTGAGTAAACATGTTGGCAGGATGTTTCCACGCTTTGGTGGCAGGCTCTGGTAGAAGCCTACATTCCTCTGATATTTTTTTTTTAAGCTCGTAAAAGGTGTCAGGTTAGGGCAGGTTTGCATGCAATTGAAAGCCTTGGGTTCCTGCAGTTCCAGTTAAAACCAACAACTTAGAAACATTTAGCATAAAAACAAAACAAAACAAAAACTAAAAAACCCAAAACACAACAAAACAGGATGCTTTCAGATTTGGGTTCCAAGTGAGGCTTTTAGAATCCTACTTGCACACAACACTTTTCAAGCTCCATATAATGCTGATAGCCGTTTCCAGATGGGATCCAAGTGGAGCCTCATTCACTAGTCGTCCACTCCTGATGTATTCTTTCCTGTAGTGTTCCTCTCCCTCCGAGGCAGGAAAGCCAAGGAGCTTTTCGTGCTTAGGAACTTCCTTGTTGTACTTTCTGTCTCAAGGATTGCATAGCCGAAGTTGAAAGTAGTTGGAACTAAAGTGAGTGTGCTGTGTAAATGACAGAGGAAGAAAGGCCCAACTTCTGTGTTAGTTCATCTGGTCAATTCAGCACATGATAGAGGTGGGCTATGTGCAGCAGGCACTCTTGGCAAATCCAGGCTCTAAGAAACTTCCAAATTTAAAAGCTGAAGTTACTTGGGCTTGAGTCAAGAAATAAGCTTCCCACCAACCTTAATCCCAGCAAAACGCAGTCAGTGGAAGAAACTCACGATGTGAAGGAATGAGAATTTAACACTCACCGTGCAGCCAAGAGTTACATCAAGAAAACACGCTATTGCGGCACTATTACTAAACGCAGAATTATCTTCTCCAGGCCAGCTGAACCAGCTGCATTGCTGCACTTAGAAAACACGGACTTCACTCGTTCCAGCCGTAGCTCTACGCGTGACGCCACCAGCAGCGTGACGCCGCTCCGGGAAGCGAGCGGCCGGCGGCGGCCGGCAGGGGGCGACTGTGAGCCGCGGGAGAGCGCGGAACGGAACGGAGCCGAACGGAATCCGGTTTGCTTGAAAGCCTTGCGTGCCTTCTTACGGCATGCAAACATTTTCAGCCCGGTCCTTTCGGAAGCCTTTTACAGCAAGAATGACTGCTTTCCATTCTATCTTCCCTAAGCGGAATCCAAACAGAACAAAACCAAAGGATAAATGGATGCTCCGATTAAGAATCGAAGCTGTGACCACAGTTGGTGCTGTTAAACGGCATTTGTCTGTGGATGCTTGATTAAAGGTAGGTTAGTAGCATCTATTTTTAAGATTGCTGGCAAATTTTGTCTTTGTCATTGTAATTAACACAGAGGCTCGAGGCAAATCAAATCAGCCTGCAGAACAGCTGCATGCATAACGCAGCCCAGAAATCTCATATTTCAACCTACTTTGGCTTTTAAAAACCAGTTTAAGAACCATTTGGTTCTTAAAAACCAGTGGTGGTGTGTGCAAGCACAGCTCATTTCAGTGAGCAGCTTATTCCCATACTTATTTATCTGGACTCTGACTTTCTGTCTAATCTAACTCATTTTTCCTGCAATTCTGCTCGTTATTTCTTATCTGGGATAAAAGATGGGATTGTTTAACCTCCAACAAAAGAAAACCCACAGAAACAAAAACAAAAAAATGGCTCAAGGATGACCTTATCAATGTGTTTATGTGACTGATGGGAGGGAGGAAAGAAGGCTGAGCCACTCTTCTCAGCGCTACCCAGTGACAGGACAAGAGGGCATAAACTGAAATACAAGAAATTTTACATAAAGATAAGAAAAAACGTTTTTGTTGTGAGAGTGGACAATGACTGACCCAGCTTGCCAAGGCAGGTTGTGGAGTTCCAATTCTGGAGATACTCGGAGCTCCATGCTCCTGGGCAGCCTGCTGTAGCTGACCCTGCCCTGAGCAGAGGGTTGAACCACCAGGGCCTTTCAGCCTCAGACATTGTATGATTCAGTGACAGAGGACAAAGACAACAGCTATTCTTGTTATCTTTCCAGCATTATCTTTTTATTTCAAAACAGTTTTCCTCTTTCCCATACAACTCCAAAGAACAGCAATTCTTCAAATCAAAAATCACATCTTTTAAAGTTTGGATGATACTTTGGCCTATTTTCAGTGAATTTATGTAATTACTGAAACAATAGCATGAAACAACATAGTATTCTCACTTACTAGCAGTGGAGCAAAAGGATTACTGCATAGATCTTATGTGTAATGCTCCTGTGTATTCATCTTAGCATAACTGGATTTTTTTTCCTTTTTCCTACTGTATGGTTCATCAGTTTGTGATCTAGGATTACCCCAAAACTCCTGATTAACCAGCTGTTCTTAGCTTGTATTTATAGCCAGAGGCATTTTCTCTTGCCTGCCATTTCATGCTTTTGAGATCATTTCTTCAGCTTGCCACAAGAATATCATAGCCAAATCCTGATACCTATGGGCTTTCATGCCCTCCTAGTCTGATAATTTACTAAACATATTGGCCATTTCATGATTCTGTAAAGATACAGAATAGTACCAAACTTGTGAGTTTAGTACTAGTGCTCCTTGATAACAGCCAGCATAAAGAACAATAAGGTAAACATCCATAAGGAGGCTGGTCATGTATTACCTTTCACCTTTCTTTCTCCTCCTCTCCGGCACCAGCATGGAGGGACACTCTCAAATAGGATGAGAAGGCCACAAGCATTATCAAGCCCCAGCTGCTGAGCTGCCAGAATGTGGTGACACCCATCATGGAACAGGAAAGTATAGAGAGCACTCTCTATAAAATGAATCAGCAGCAAACCCTGAGTGGGACTTCGAATGGTGCCACATCTGGACAGCAAAACCTGGGATCCTTCAGAGGCCAGGAGCACCTCTGTGGTATTCCTGTGAGGACCGATTGAGCCTTGGAGTTGTGATCTTCTACTTAAAGCCTGAGTCCAGGTGTTAAGAATTTCACTGGATCTACAGAGGGCGTGGGTAACTGGAAAGTGTGCCTAACTGAGAATTCTAGAAATTCTGTGCAACTGTAAGCTATGTTAGGCCCTAGAAATTATAGATTATAAGCTATGTTGATACCTAAATTTATAATAACAAGTGTCTAATTATAACCACAACCCTGTGGCCAGTTCTCATTCCGCCAAGGATGCCTGTCCTCCACAGTATCGGGTGACAGTCAGCCATTAGGAACCAATCTACAGGAGAAACTTCCCAACTATTTGGGGCTGTGGAGGTGTCCTGACTGGACTGCATTTCCTTGGGTAATTGTGGGAAAAGCACAAGAGGCAAGATCACAGGTCATATTAAGTTGAGATTTACTCTATCTGCCCAGGACTGCTGGACTGTCAGAAGGGGATTGATTCAACATTATTATGTTAACTGTTTCATAACACTTTATTATCTTGCAAGTATCTGAGAGTAGATATTTTGATTGTTTTTCTTCTATTTTTTTTTCATTTAAGGAATGAGGCAATTTGATCTAAAATTCTCAAAGTCATCTTTGCCTTTTTTTTTGAAGTCTTAAGGTGGTACAGATTCAGCATTATACATAAAGTTATAACCTTCCATTGATCTCTGAAATAGTGGCAAATCATGGTAATTTAGAAGGCCAAATACATTCCCTGCTTTATGGAGCCTTGCTCATCCTCTGTCGGTGTTCAAAGGTCAGTACTTACCATTCCAAGGCTGTCATGTCTCCACCCAATCCTACCAGACTGATGACATAATGTAGACTCCTGCAATTACAACACACACTTGTAATTTTTCCCTTCAATAATTGCTCAGAGACAGTGCTATTTCTTCCTACAGTGAGTATGGCAGGCCTATGGTGCCTTCGTAAATGAAAGAATGCCTTGCAATTATTTGCATCTCTTCCCCCCCCCCCCCCCCCCCCCCCAAAGACATAATTCATTATTTATAAGTAGCCTCTAGGACATAGAACAGTTTTAGGAATGGCTTTGACTTTTCTCAGAAATATCTTCTGATAAAGCTGAGTCATCTGTGTAGCTACGTATCAATCACAGCTCTCTGATTTATTGCATGTACTCACAGAATTAGAGTGTAGAGCTATCATGGATGCACACTATATGTATATATATATATTGCACAAACACGTACATTGAAACATAACTAAAATGTCAAAGTGAAAAATATATTAGTAATTGCCAGATGTTACATGAGGCTCTGATTTCACCTTGGCTTCTCGTTGCCATTTCCCTTCAAAAATGCAAAACTCAGCTGATGCAATGGCAATACACAACTTCCCACGTTTCTCTAACATACAGTCTTACATCTGTTTTCCCCCCTCTTATTATTCCCATAAAACACAGAGCTTTCATTTATGTGCATATTAGTGTGACTGTAATCTCTTCCATACCAACGCATTAAAATATTTTACACATATCAGAATAGCCATATATAGCACCACTGTACATTATAGAAGTATTATCTTTAGTTATGTGTGCAAAACAGAAAGAGAAGTTTTTTATCCAAGGCTCAGCAAGGATTCAGACTTTCTGATTTTCAGCCCTCTTTTTCAGTCTCATGTCTATCTTCCCTAGGTTTTACAATGACCTACATATCATTGCACAGGAAGTGCAAAGCCAGCAATAAACACTATCAGCCTCTTTATAGCAATGATCAACTATCCCAGTTATTTAAGTATAAAACATTTAATCTCTCAGGAAAATAAAGTTCTTTTAATCTTCTGGTTTAGCCCTCAGAGAGTCGTAAGAATTGTAATTACCAGTATGGTACTTTACTGTGCAGCGAGTGCTTGAGCCCTGCAAATTCCATACATGCCTTTTTATATCCACAAGCCACAGATGAAGGAAAAGTTGATAGCATTTTTGACCTAAATTACCACCTAGCAGCAAGAGATTCTGCTCTCACAGAAAAAGCATTCAGCATCATTCTTAGAACTTCACATATCCCTATTCCTTTCTTACATACAGATGGGCTTCTCTGCAATATAAATGCAGCTCTACGTAGAGGTCAAGGTTCTGTAAACAAGGGTTCTAATGGAGAACACTGGGTTTGTGTGATGAGACAAGTTGAGAGATTTATTGTGTTTTTACATGTCTGCTAGTGTAATTATATTAGCAGTGTTAGAAATAAGCACCTCTGCTGCAGCATAGCTGTACTAGAAATCTGGTTTAGATAATAGGAAGACTTACAGAAGACCCCTTTTACTTTTCCAGCTCATGTCATTTAGAAAGGTGATGTAATTATGCCAGTGGAAAAGCTCGTTAGGATGGCATCCCGCATGTCTCAACACAGGGCTCTACTGCTTTTAACATGGAAGAGTACGTGAACTGTACTGCTTAAAGTTGAAATAAAACCAGGAATTGCACTTCAGGACTGCCTCTAATGTGTTCTGGTTTCTAAGGAATCTTGTAGCAGAAACATTAAGTCACAGCTTAAAGCAGTGATTGAGCACCTGGTGGAAGGCAGGGCCAACCCAGGGGAGCTCAGGTGCATGCAATGCTGCTGAGTGACTGGAACGGCTGGAGCCAGGATCCACTCCTTCCCAGCCTCATTTAAGGGTTGGCAGTGGAACTAAGGGGATCTTGCTGGAGATCCCTGTGTACCTGAGGCCTTCTAAAAGGTAAGCAGTTTCTTTCCTTTGTTTCTGTATCCCCAGCTGCTGTGTTTGGGCTACTCCTTGCTTGCTGCAGCCTAGGGCTTTGATACCCTGCTATTGTTGCTGTGCTTTCCATCACATCATAGCATTACAGGTCTGTAGGGCAAAGCCAGGTTGGTCTCAAATAAAGCTTCTGGAATGTGCACAGTGCAGAAGCTGGTTTCCCAGCACCAGCTGTTTTGTTCTCCAGATCCTCTCCTATTTGACTATACTGCTTGCTGAAGTAGGTGAGTTTGGCATCTGTACTATAGACATGATCTGATTTTTTACTTATGAATTGTTTCTTGACAATTCATAAGTAAATGAGTGACACTAAAGTAAATCTACTTCCCTTCAGCCTTGTAAGTTCACTGTTACTCTAGTTAGGATCATTTGGAGCCTGGTTTCATGAACAACACTTTAGTAGGCTATTCAGCAGCTGCATTAGTTCCCTGAATTCAGTTCACAGAATGCTGCACAAATGCTTGTGGCTATACAGTGCAGGCATGTACAGGAATAGAAACAGCTGGGTAGGAGGAAATGATTATTTAAGTTGGCTTTAGCACTATTGTTAGTGAATGTCACAAATGTGTCAAAACTTTGAGAAGTTCCTCTGGATTTTTCCTTTTCTTTTGTTTTGTTTTCTTATTAAAAGACATAAGTTCTGTTGGTCCTATAACTTAGCTTTTGTCCTCACTAGCAGCAAAATCCGATCTACTTCTTTAAAAACATGAACTATTTTTGCCTTTAAAAAAGCAACCCAAATTCAAAAGTAAAAATGAAGGTAAGCTCTTCCAAAAGGAGTAAAACTTCTAATTTGCTTTCAGAGTATTTTAAAATTTCATTTATTGAGTATCTCTTAACAAAGTGCCAGTAGACTTCCATCCTATCTTCCATTAAATTCATTTTACCCTTCTTCCAAGACACTGAGTTGAACACCGCTTCACAAATAGAAGCGTGAGCAAGACAGTACTGTCTTTGAAACCCTTCTGCAGAAATTCTGCTTCAAATTCAGATCCCACAGCACTTTAATAAAAACCCCTATGGATGTGAGGAAGCATGTTTCAGAAGCACCTATGTTGAAAGCTCCATTTGCCAAAGGATTGGTAAATGTAGGTCTGGACAGGGTGTTGTGCAGACCTCCTTGGTGCATCTGGATGATGGGATTAATGCTCAGTCAGCCCTTAATAAATGGAAAGATTATCATAGAGCTGTGCAGTAGAACATAGAATCTATTTAGTGAAGCACTTGTATCTGAAATAGCCTACTCAGTGCACTTGCAAAACTAGCAGCAAAGTAGTACATCTATGCTATCAGACTGGGAAAAACAAGCAGAATTGGCTGTAGTCAAACTGGATTTTGTTATGGTGGTGGCAAGGAGTGACCTGTCATTTAACTTCAAAAAAGTAATGAATTGAATATGGTCTTGATGTATTATATATATTATAAAAAATAACTTACTGAGGTGGACCAACAACAATATAAGGAATCCTTTCATGGATGATTACGCTTGCTTGGTAGACCACAGGTAGAATTTGCAATTACAGAATGAAATAAAAGAAAGTAATCACAGGCACAAAAAAAATTCCCCTTCATTTTTTGCACACAATCTCACTGATTTGATCTTAACAGTAATTGCAAGAGGGAAATCAATATATTATCTGTGAGCCATGTCATACACTGCAGATGTTAATCACACACACACACACATAGTTTTGAAAGGAGGATTTTATTGTTTTCCTGTGTGCTGAGTGAGGCTCAGTGGAAATATTCCCACTGGTAAATAAGTCACTTCCATGGGGAAGGAGGAAATGCCAGAATCCTTCTCCCTGTAGAGATAACTACAACTGCCATATGGAAAAGCTATTCCAGTGAAAAGTTAAAAATAAATGCAAACAAAAATTCTTATGCTGAACTTCTTTCCCTGGTTTGGAGGGATTTTCATTTTGTTGCAAAAATTAATATTAGAACAGTGGCTTTGTAAATTTCTGTCATAAAAAAGGTTTGTTTTTTTTTTTTTCCCCCAGAGTATTTAGTACTAAGATGTATGTAGGTACTCCTGAAGTGTTCTGGTGCCAATTGTTGGCTGTCACAAACCTCTTTTTATCTGCTGTAAGTTGCCAATCAGAAGTGCCTGCTGTGTTACTGTTATTCTAAGGCTGTTCCATCTCAAAGCAGAGTAAAGCTATCCAAAAAGTACAGAAAAGCCATTTCAAATATATTTCTGAATCAGGAAATCACCTTCTTCCATCACAGTCCCTTAACCATCTCACATAGCTGGGAGCTGCCATATCAAGTTAGTCAACATGTGATGAAGAATTAGGCAAATTAAAGAATACGATTGCAATATTGCAGGCATCCTTGTCCATGGATGTGATTGAAGATAGTAAGAGCACAGCAGCATGAATTTATTAATCATACTCCTCTACTGAAAGGAATGTGTCAAAGAAACTGGCAAACAAGTTTGTCTTGTCTGCAAATAACTATCTTGCCAGAAAACCAGCAGGTGTAACAGGAGGTCAGCTGGACTGAATGGAGAACACGTAACCAGCCCCTAATGCAAAAAGGGAGTGTATAGAAAACATGAATGCAAATGGACTACAGATGCATTCCCTGGGCACAGAAGGATGAAAGTAGGAAGAACAAAATGCCATTAGATTTAAAAAGTGGCAAAGAGTATAAAGTGAAATAAGAAAGGCTTCTTTAACTATTTTGGCATCAAAAAGATGACTGAAGCAAAAAGTGAACCCACTGCTAAGAGATTTGCAACTCTATGATGACACAGAAAAGGCTGAGGCCTTTTCTGAGGATCTGCTTTAAGGCCTTTCATGCTTACGGTTTAGTAGTGAACTTACCACAGCACTTGACAGTTCTGTAAATAACTAGATGGGATATATCTTAAATAATAGAGCAGCAAAAATTACTTCCCTGTATTGTCAGGTAGTTAAATAAGTGACAGCTCAACTGGATGTTGCACACTAAAGTAAATGTAGCACACTAAAGTAAGTAAGCACACTAAATGTGCTTACTACATAACTTCCACCAACTTCACCTGTGAACTGGTATCTCTGATGTCATATTCAGCTCATGCTTTTTTGCTAAAACAGGTAAATA